CTGCTGGTAGAGCTGAGTTCTGCGACTACAGGGAGCTTTGAGTACAGAGGAACTCAAACTTACTGATAGAACTCAAATTCTGTTGGCAAAACTTTATAGTGTGCAGCAGAATGTGTGGTCTGCAGCATAGGCCAAGGAATTTGTTGTACACAGTAGCTGCCGGGTAAAGTGCAAGCAACTGTTTGATGACTTCTGTTGCAACTCTGAGTTAGTATATAGGCAGCTTTAATTGAGCACTAATGGGCTTAATTAGGTACCAATTAACTCTACAGTATACGTTTGTGTCTACACATCTACCCTTATTAGGACTCGCAAAATTTATAAACTCTGGAGTGGGCTAGTACTTGTATTTACCCTGCTCTGGAGTTCTTTTTCATGTATAGCAGCATGTGTGTAGATGCTGGAAGGGCTGGTTGGGATACAAGGGTGTTTCAGTGTGGGGATTGCTTGTCAGCTAGCCCATGCACTGAAGCACCCTTATGCCCCAGTCAGCCCCTCCACAGCACATCGAGACTGGTTGGAGCAGCCCTAGGTATTGCTCTGACTGGGTTCAATGGACTGTGCATGAATAAACTCTGGAGCTGATTGCTCCCAAGTTTGTTTTTCTTTGCTCCTGGGTGCATTTTCAAATGTGTTGCCTGGGAGCAAAAAACTTCAGAACAATAAGTCCAGAATTTTTGTGTGCATTGATTGCATATGTAGACACACCCACAGAGGTACTCATGCTAAGCTCTCTGGGCTCTGTGATGAAATCGCAACCTGAATTAATTAATTTTAAACACTGTTCTTAATATAGAAATCAGTAGGCTTTGGCGAAGGGCATGTGATATTTAACTTTTTTTTAATTGCTGTCTGTATTACTCCCAGATGTCTTAAATGGTTTGCTGTCGTTGCTATTACTAGTAGACTGAATCTTTTTTACAAAGTAAGAAAGGTGATACTACATACTTTTGAGTAGTTTTAAGAGGCATTTATAAGTGCTAGCAAGTGCTGACATTTTGAAAAGTGAGAGAGAAGCCACTTCAATCTTAGCCTATGACCTTTTTTGATTTAAAAAAAGCCTATGGCTTTTTTGATTTAAAAAGGATAACCTTAGAAATTTAAGTGGAAATACAGTGCAACGGAGATGACAAGCTTTTGGTGTTATGGATTCTTTCAATTTCTTGCTATTTGTTTTGGTAAAATACAGTATAAACTAAAATAACTAGATTTAAAGCATTTTTTTAAAGTTTCTAAAATTTTGCAGTCACATCTCCATTTATAAATGTTATATTGCACACATTTTACAAAACCTCTCTTTGACTTTTTACACATATTCATATTAACTTAAGTTACTAAATGTTGGTGTTAAATTTGAAATCTTGTCTAATAAGAAGCTACCCTGAGTTGCCTGCTAAATTTGAATGATGAACACCACATCTCGGAATTATGACACACAATGCAGCTAAACTTCAAATGTACCATTAACTTTTAAAATAAAAATATATGCTATCTACCTAGAATTATTTTGTCTGTAACTGAATAAATCAATCCTAATCTTGCAGTTGGATCCCTGTAAATAAATCATTTATGAAGTTGGTAGAAATAAGTGCAGGAAAGGCATCCATTCTGCTTCATTTGCAGGACTGGGGTTTTAGAGGTGAACTTTTTTTCTAGTAACCTTGTATTTCTCCACATACTGCTTATTACCAGAAGAGGGCATCAGTGTTCTTATGATACAATGAAGTTGTTATGTAAAGGTAGTAGTTACTTTTATGAATTTTTTTATGATAATGGTTTTTGTTAAATATTGCTTAAACACCCAGCTGATGTTTAAAACTCTGGTTTTGCATTGTTAGTGATGAGCAGTAAGATTATCACACAGGCAGTTTTTTTTATTTGCATCATTACATTATTTATGTATTTTAGCAGTTTCTTGGGAGGGTAACCTTTTTAGATAAAATTCTAGCAGCGTATTGAATATTTGTTAAGATAATTCACAATGTTTGTGTTTTATTTCAGCACACTAATGATTTTGCCCTGTATACAGAGGCCATTAAATTTTTTAACCATCCAGAAAGCATGGTTAGAATTGCTGTCAGAACTATAACTTTAAATGTCTACAAAGGTATGTTTTGTAAATCAGAAAACTTGTATAATTAATGTTTTATTTGTGTAACCACGTGTTATGTTAACTATTAAACATGTCTCGGGTTTACTAAAAGCAGCCCCTGATTTGTCGGGTTCAGCTGTTAGTATGTTTTAACATGCATGAAAAGTATGCTTTAAATGCATGTTTTGATCTTTATAAAAGTACTACAAATAAGCACTGCAGTCGCGTTATAGAAATACTGGTACTAATATTTTATCCTTGATACAGGAAACAGTCAAAAACAAAATACACAAGAAAATTCACCTTTACAGCCAGTAGAGGTCATACTCTTACTGTTCTACTGAAAGTATGATTCCCTTAAGGATATTGCCCTGTAACATTATGCGTTGCCTATCAAAATATTCATTCACTGTGAAATTTGTATGCCTGAAACCACATTGATTCCCCTTTTGGGTAGTAAATCTGATTCTTGCACTTATTAGTTTAATCAGTGCACCAAAACTATTGATGGTACAAAATAAATCTATCCCTTTCTATCATCTAGGCTAGTGTTTGTGCATTCCATAACAGAACACTTAACCCCCCCCCCCAAACCCAGCAGTCCTTTGTAAGCTGATCTGTGCAGTCCATGAAAGATAAGCAAGTCTTCAAATTCTGCCTCTAGCACAAGTCATGCTTTGGAGTGGCCTGTATGGTGATTAACATTCATATAAGCCTTTTTATTTCCTGTGCCATTTTAAACAGCTTTTCACATTAAGTTAAAAACAAAAAATCTTTAGGACTATGTCAGTCTAATTACATAAAAACGGATTAGTGCCTGCTAGAAGTTGGTGAATATTTCATTTGTGTACACATTGAAGAGAAGATTCAAATATTGCTATTTCCTAGTATATTTTCAGATATAAAATAAACGTGGCAATGGCTCTTTGGTGAGTCTTCTAATGAATTTCAATTTGAACAATAACTGATGAAACAAATGAATTCATTTTGCTTCCTGCCAGTGTGTGTTCCCTTCAAATACAGCATGGCCAGTAACAGAAACATTCCAGTTGGTTATAGATAAGCTTATGGAGGAAGTAAAATGACATTTACAGTATTAATGTAATGAAGCCCCACTGACTGCAGAACTTTTTTCTGAATACTATGGTATAAACGCCCACTTAAATCATAAAAAGCAGGGGAAAATTGTTTGATATAGACTGCAGTTGCCGGATACTGTCAGTGCTTTTCTTTTTATGAACGCTCCAGTGGTGTTGGTGTCTGAGCAAAATGTGGTTCTTTCTATATGTTCCGCGAGCAGGAATCATGCTGCACTCGCTCTTTCGTGCGCGCTCACTCTTTCTCCTTACTTTACGTGTATATAAAAGTTTCTGAACATGAGCCAGCTAACGCAGAAACAATTAAACTTGATAAAATTCATAACTTATTTGTGTACATTTCCTAAATTTAAAGAAAAAGTTTTTTGATGAAAATGTTCTTGTCTAGAGTTTAAATTGAATGTTGGAGTGCTACGAGGGTTGAATTTGAAAAGCACAACTATCAAACCTGCAGGTTTCATCATTTTCTATCAGTTTTGAAAATATTCTGATCTAACACTTTCTAATCTGTGTCTTTTAGTTTAGATGTTTTCTGCTTTTAGCTATTTAACCCTTTTGAAGGATGTATCACCATCCCAGTTCCTAATCCTATTAACTGTTGTCTGTTTTTCTTGCCCTTCCTTCACTGATGATTTGATTCCTGTGTTCCTTAATGCAGTGTCATGTAAGTCTAATTAGTTTGGCTTTCAGCATGATTGCTTTATTCTTACACTTGTCTTTTTTAAAAAGCAATTTACTTGAAGACTAATTGTTTTGAACTGCGCTTTGTTTATCTTCGTATCAATGTAATAATAACTTCTTAGTATTTCAATACTCATTTAGTGTTAAGTTATGTCAGACTTTCAGAGATACCTGTTTTGTGCATAAGTTAAACCCAGGTGCGTACACATGAAAAGCTAGCATGCAGCCAGAACTCAAAGGTATCTTTCTTATAGCTTTTTTTCAAATATTAGCATTTGAAACTGATTGTCTTTAACTTTTCTATTCAGTGGACAACCAGCCTATGCTGCATTACATTCGAGATAAAACTGCTGTCCCTTACTTCTCCAACCTTGTTTGGTTTATTGGAAGCCATGTTATAGAACTGGATAACTGTGTGCAGACTGATGAAGAGTAAGTTTTTACAAATACTGTTTATTGAATAGTAGTAGTACTTTTCCTGCATACATTGAAAATCCCTATTTCCTTATATGAAATGATCAAGGCTAAGCTGCATACTGGTAGGAGCCTGAGTCTAATTCTTAATAGGTAATGAGAGGCAAAGGTTTCTTAGGGGTTAGGGACAGAAGTTACGCATAAACTAGTATAAGTGGTGAGAAACTAGTTCAAATCTGTAACACAGCGGAAGTTTAGTGCACATAAACCACTTTCAAAATGGCTGAAACTGGTTTAAGATATACCTGGATGGATGTAGTATCAGACTTAACTGATTTAGTTTAAATTGGTTTATTGAACTTCTGTCCCAGATCCCCTCCAGATTCAAGTTTAACTCTGTGTGCCAGCATTCCAGGATGTTTTGCACTTCCCCCACAATTCCCCCCCTCGCCGGGGGGTGGTTAGTTAACTTTGGCACAAGCTGTCTGCTCCATTCAAGCAGGGAGGTGTGCTTTAGTGTTCCCTGGCTTCTGGCCTGGGCCACTGCAGGCACATGACTCCATTTCTGGAATCAAAAGTGAGTGTGTGTTCACTTGCTTATTGGTTCAATCTGTGCAGTTTAGATTAACCTGTGAACATTAAATTGATTCACCCTTAAGCTTTTTGACTGTCTGTACTTAGCCAGGGTGATATTTTTTGCTGGACCAGCTACATAGTTGGGATAGAGTTAGACAAGCTTTAGAGTGCAAAGTGTCCTTCACCAGATCTGAGGAGTGAAAGCCCGAACAGCATAGTAAAAGCCAGCTCAGCACAGCATATAGGTCACGCTGGGAATCCTTGGAAGAAGAATCTTGTAAATAAATGATGTATTCAAAATATTACTCCTTATTCTAGTTGTTCTGAAGGATACAACTGGAGTTCAATGTGTAAACTACTTAAATATGTAAAAGATATACAGGACTATTTCTGTTTTTTAGTGTTAGAATTCAGTCTCCTTTAGATACTTGACTTTGTTGTCTGAAGGTTTGAGTACACAAACTAGTTACTATGAAGTAAAAGTGAATTACTACCTGTCAGCTTCTCCATGGTAACTGCGTGTGTGCCCATTCTTACCTGGCTGTAGATGACAGACAAAGCACAGTAGCTTTTAGTCAGACTTCATAGAGGCCTTTCATTGCTCATAGAGCAGCTGATACATGGCCCTGTTTACCTCTTCATTGGTACATATACAGGCAGCCTCCACTTAGTGCTCTTAATTGGTTCCTGAAAACTGAGTGTTAAGTGAAACCAAAAGTATTTGACAACCCAAGATGGTGACCACAGTTGTTTTTAATGACCCAAAATGGTGACCTCGAGCATTGTAACGAAACTCGCTAAGCAAAGTCGGGTATCGATTTAAAATGGGTGTTATAGCGAAATAGTGCTAAATGAAACAGCGTTAAGTGGTGGTTGCCTGTACTTGTTGCCATCCAGTTTTCTGAATTGCTTCTTTAGAAAATTAACTTAGGCTCTGTACAGTATTCAGTTCTCAACCTATATTTTGTTGTCATTACTATAACTGGCAGAACTGCAACTCCTGTAGTACCCCTTGTTGTCAACAACTCATACTGTCTATTATTACCACTTGTCTGTGGTGATAGAAAATAAATAAACCCAGTAAAAAAACTAAAATGCTCTTACTGCCTTTTTATTGTTGAAAAAAAATTGTAAGAGTTCCTTTCTTGATTGCTGTCTGAGAAGGCTATACTACAAGGTAGCTATGATATTTGTCATGTCTGATAGAAACTAAAAAGAAATCTTGTTCTTTGCTATGCGATTGCATCTCCAAAACTGAAATCATATTGTATATTTTCCTTTAGTCTGACTGTATGAGCTGTCTCTCCAGGATTACAGACAACTATTTTGGCTTTAACATTAGACAGTCGGTCTACAGAGAATGTTACCTAGATTTAAAAAACCTAAACAAACAAAACCAACCCGCCCTCCCCACAAACAAACTAAAACCTTTTCCCCATTTAATTGTGAAAACTCTGCTACCAGTGCTATGTCTTAATCTCTTTCTCTTTTTCAGGCACAGAAATAGGGGTAAACTGAGTGACTTGGTAGCTGAACATCTTGATCATTTGCATTACCTTAATGATATCCTTATTATTAATTGTGAATTCTTAAATGATGTGCTCACAGACCACTTACTTAATAGACTCTTCCTGCCTCTGTATGTGTATTCATTAGTAAATCAAGATAAGGTAAGAAATAGCTGTCATTAATAATTAAGATTTACCTAAATGTTTTCACTCAATAGTTTACTGTAATTTGTGTATCCCTTAAGTCAAATTAATATTCTGTACATCAAAGTACTTTACAAGAAATACATTTTAAGTAACTCAGGACCCTTTTTTAAATAGCTTATTAAAGGCGAGCAACTTAATGCAGATGATGTGCATAGGTTTTATGTACTAAGTATAGTACAGTTTTCAGTCAATATATACACTTAAATTCTAGCAGATGGTAATGGGACAGAGCGGCAAGTTCAGGTTTGGATCAGAATTGTCCTGAAGTTTGTCAGGTGTTAACATTTAAGTTTGAATATATCCTGTGCTGAAAAAGTGTTTTATTATGGCAATCTGTTCAAGCCAAAGGCTATTCCTGAGTGAATTACAATGCCATGTTTAGATGTAAACTCAGCTTTAGAACTTAATTCTTACCCCACACATTGGCCGACAAACCATGTTAGAACCTGGTGCAACTAATAGCATATATTGTTTAAACAAGGCTTTTAAACGCGTTTAAGGCCAATAAAATTTGAATCAGAAGCACACTTTCGATAAGGTGAACTTCTAAGATGACAGCAAAAAAACTGGTTTGGGACTTTGTTTCTCAAATGCATTTAAGTGGCCTCTAGTCTGATATTTCTTCCCCCCTTCTCCCTAATTTTTCTATATTTTTTTTATAATGTGGTATTGCTATCCATGTCCTTCACTGTAAGAGTAGAATTGGAAGTGATCTGTATAGGGGGAAAAAAATTGAATTTTTTTGTTTAAATGATCTGATCCTGGCTCTTATACAGGGAACTTGTAGCTAGAGGTGAGGCAATGCATATAAGCAGGAAATATTTGCTTACATTTTCCTTTTTAAAAAATGTCATAATTATGTATATACTTTAATTTTCCATAATTTAGAATTTTTCTCACACACACCTTCCTCTTCCTTCCATAGGGTGGGGAGCGTCCAAAAATAAGTCTCCAAGTTTCTCTCTATCTTCTATCGCAAGTATGTGTTTACATCTATTTAATGTAATTTCAGTGTATTATTTGTAATAGCAATTGTTTTTGTCTCAATGTCCCTGAAACAGCTAGAGAAAATTGCAGCAAGTTTTTTTTTGCTAGCTATTATATAGACTAAGAAAAAATCTTTTTATTTTAAATAGCGTTGTTTGAGATTTTTTTTTTAGTACACTGTCAAGAGGTAGATGGAGATGATTGTAGAAATCCTATTACTTCATTGCTGAAGTCTGCCCACCTTTGAGCAGAATGCAGCAGCTGTAAAACAGCTCACAATAACACTACTCAGCATATTACCAGAGAGTAAAGATTATAGTATTCAACTGATGCGCAAGTAGAATACTGCAAAATACAGTAGCCCAAGTTTGAATAGGATTGTAGAGAATACAGTATAGAATTACATTACACTAATGAAAAGAAAGTTGTTAGTATCAGTTAATGACTGAACGTAGGCAGATTTGTTTTTGATTTATAAAAGGGGAGGATTTTAGTTTGTTCTTAATACTAAATATGAATAAAGGATATCAGTTTGTTGATTGATTTGTTTTTTTCTTTCATGCTAATGACTGAATTAGACAAGGAAAAATTACTTCAGTGTTTAGCGTGTAAGCTTTGTATCAGAGGTCTAATATTTATTTTTTGCCCTGTTCTTTTAATAGGTCTTTCTTATTATACATTATGCACCTCTGGTGAACTCACTCGCTGAGGTTATTCTTAATGGGGACCTTTCAGTGTTCTCTCCTAAAGTTGAACAAGATATCCAGAAAAGTTCTGTGAGTAGTTAACTAATATTTATATTAAAATGAAGTTGTGGAAAAATATTTGAAAGAAGCCAGTTCAGATAAATAAGTCAGTGACTTAAAAGCAAAATATTCTGGCTTGCTGAGGAGAGGGGTGAGAGCCTTATTTCATATTCAACTACTGGACACTTGAACAGTAGTACAAGGACAACTTTGAAATATAATAATACAATGTATTCATTTGCAAATTTCACTTGCAAGCGTTGTATAATTACTTAAGCAAGCATTAAGTATTATTTCTGTAGATGCGTGTATGCACATACTACAAAAGTTAGAGCAGAGAGTATACCCGTCACTAAATTTTAGATGTTTGTCCAGTCTGTTTCGAGAGAAGTGTACCTCTATCACTTGCAGTTTGAAGGCTATATCATAGGTCCCTGGCAGACTGTTAATTGCATGATAAATGACAGTATGCCACACATGCAGAAAATTTAGATGAAGCCAAGTGCCAAACTAGCCACAAAGATGTTCCATGTTTAATGGTTCTCACATTTTGGAGACTCAGTGCTCTGGGATCTTTAAAAAGTCCATGTATAGTCCAGATTCCAAGGTGATATGAGCACCAGATTGGGTTTCCCTCATGCTGGTTCCTCCATGCTGAGATGTATGGCATGATTTTTGGGATTGAGCATAACATTTCTCTGATCCAAATTGCATAGTTATAAAATGTCTGCCAGGGGCCATAATCTAGTGTATCTGGCTATTTTAGAGTTGTTTTAAACAATTCCTGTTTTTATTAATTGTATCTTAAGTTTTTATGTAGACTTTTGTAGTTAGGCTTGAAATTAGTTCATAGAAGTCTTACCTACATAGTTGTGGGTGAAATAAATACCCATTCAAGACATTGGAGAGAATCTTGCATACGATCTTTGCAGTTATCAAAAGATTGATTTGGCTCCTATAAATGTTTACACTGGGCATTTTGTAAGTAGTCTTAATATAGTACAAGGTAGAGGTGCACTAATACATTGGTCTGATATCGGATTGGTACTGATATAAGGAAAATTGTCTATATCAGATATTGGCCCGATGGGGCCAAAAATTTGGCCGATGAATGCCCATGCTGTGCTAAGCTGCAGCGCAGCATGGAGTAGAACCAGCAGCATAGAGAGCTGTCTCCAGCTGGTAAGTTGGAAGAGGAGGGGGAGGGAAGGGATGTGGGGGGGGTGCAGATCAACATCCCCTGTGGTAAGGGAAGGGTCAGTGGCAGGTGCTGCCTAGCTGGCGGGGTGGGGTGGACAGAGGCCTGGCTTGTGGGGTGTGGGCAGCTTCCACTGCTGCTTGCACCCCAGGAGAGCGGAGGTGGGTGCAGGAGGGCGTGTACCCTCAGATCAGTGGAGCGCGGGGCCGGTGGCAGCTGTGGGGTGGAGCTGGTGCTGCACAGGGCTTTTCTTGCCAGGGGCTGAGTTTGGAGCAGGCTCCAGTGGTGCTGGGAGGAGGCTACAGCCACCCCAAATTTCGCCATATCTCCACTCCTAGCCCCGTACCACCACCTGCTGCCTGGCGCTTGGGTGGAGGCGGGGCATTCAGCTGGGGCTGCACTGGGTGGCAGCACGGGCCTGGGAATGGAGCTGTGGCAAAATTTGGGGTGACTACAGCCTCCTCCCAATGCTGTCGGAGCCTGCTCCGAGCCCAGCCACCTGTGAGAAGTGCCCCGCGCAGCCCTGGCTCCGGCTCCACCCCACAGCTGCAGCCTGCCCTGCGCCATGCCCTCCCGCCCCCACCCTCACAGGGTGCAAGCAGTAGTGGGAGCTGCCCCCACCTCACAAGCTGCGCCTCCGTCCTGCGCACCCCACCTGCCTCCTCTCTCACTGAGGGAGGTGTAGATCTCCCCCACCATGCCCCTTTCCTCCCCACTTCCTTTCCACCACACCGGACTTACCACCTGATGGCAGCTGTATTGGATATCAGGTTGGTATCGGCTGATATACCTCCTTAAATATCAGCTATCGATATCGGTCCCCGAAATCTCTATCGGTACACCCCTAGTACAAAGTCTTTTTACACTTGTTTTTAAAAACAACTGACAGATAGTCTGCCACATCAGGGAGAGTAATGCTGTAATATTGTGAAGTTCCTAATCCCCAAGTCAGTTTGTATTTTGAATTTAGTATTATTGACTACTGAAAAATTCAGCATATGATGCCAGACAAGGTTCTTTGGGTGAACCTGATATCTTTTATCAGACCAGCTTAAATAGTTGGAAAACAATTTTAAAGCAAGTTTTCGGGTTCAAAAACCCTTTGTCAGGCTAAGGAAGTTTCTGCAGTTGGTGTGTGCTCTTCCTGGATAGAATGAAAAGTAAAGAAGCCAGAGGCTGAGCTGGTATGCTTCCTTAGCCTGATGAAGGGTTTTTGAACCTGAAAGCTTGCTTCAAAATTGTTTTCCAACTATTTAAGTTGGTCTAATAAAAGGTATCAGATTCACCCAAAGAACCTTGTCTGCCTATGTCTTTAGACCAACACAGCTACAACCTACACCCCTGTATATAATGCCATAATTTTCAAACATTTTACTTATAATTCAATACAGGTTTCCCTCACTTTATGTGGGTTCTGTATGTGCGAAGTTGCTCTTATGCAATGACCCTTTTTATACTAAAAATCCGTTATATGTGAGGTAAATTCACTCTTATGTGGTCGGTGTGGTGGAAGCCCTCAGTCAGCTGCTTCGTGCTGTGCATTGTGGAAGTGACACGCACCGAAATATAGTCTCCTGTGTGGATCTGTGCTCCTTGCTCACTGTCTGTGACGCATGTTTCTGTAGTTGCTATCCCCATTATGATAGTGCCCTGTGCTTGTGTGTACTGTCTGCTGTTTGTGAGTACCAAAATTGTCTTGTAAAAGTGGTAGAAATGGGCCTGGGGGTCTATACAGTTGAGGTCTTGGAACATATCCCTATTTGTTGCATTGTAAAGTTGGTTCCCTCTGTGCGAATTCGCATTATGCACCGTTTTCGAGGAACACATGTACAGCATAAAGTGAGGGATACCTGTATAAGGAAAAGGGAGTTATCTGTAGAAGAAATGAAGAGGGTGAAGTAATATTAATGTCTTAAATCAAGGCTGTCCAAATGGCAGTTCATGAGCCATGTGCTATTTATAAGAGGTTAATTTTTGCTCCCTTGGATCACATCCAGCTACCATTCCCCCAGTGCTTCAGCTGCTGCAGCAGCAAGGGTCTCAGAGCCTCCCTTTCCTTCCTCTGGCTTCCAATTCCTGTGTCTGCCCCACATGTATGGTGTGGTATAGTCCAGTCTACTGTCCTGGTGTTGGGGGAGGCATAGCCTGGGGCACCTGGACAGCACGCTGCAGCAATAGTGTCCATGGCTGGGGATTTGAGGGCACAGCATTGGATTTGGGGGCAATAACGAACCGAGTGTTGCCGTACTTGTATATTGGAAGCATGAGGGCAAGAAAGCCAGCAACAGCTTGAGTAGTCAATGTCAATAAGACCTTGAGCACCTGAAAGAGGGCTGTCGGGGCATTCAAAGATGATGTGATCTGAGCTTTAGCAACACAGCTGCAGCCAGCATCGTTGGAGAGGTTTCAAGAGTACATGCTTGCCTTAAACCAGGGGTGGGCAAAATACAGCCCATGGTGGCATGCAACTGGACAGCTGGTGAGTGGGGAAGGGAGATTCTGCCTGCCGTGCTGGGAGCCCCACATGGAGGCACAGTACCAGCTTGGCCCTGTCCAGCAGTGCGCGCTCCTGGCTGCATTGCTGGGACCCCCATGTGCGGGCACAGAGCCAGCACAGCTAGCCCAATGGCATGTGGCTCCCAGAAGGAGGGCTGGGAGTCGTAAGTGGTAGGCAGCATGGAGCCCACACAGCCTGATTTTGGGGGGGAGGGGTAGCAGGGTGTGGATTGGGGGGGGTGTTGTTGGCCCCCTGCTTTCATCCCCATGGTGCACAGCCCCACAGCAGCAGGCTTTTGGGGCTCTCATGGTTTGCAGCAGGCAGCGACCCCCAGCAGCATGTGGCTCCACCTGAGATCTGGGATCTGCACATGGCAGCATGCAGCTGGTTCTGCCTGGCCCACTGGCACGCAACTTCAACTCGGACTGGCCTGGCTCTGTGCTAGCACATGGGGTTTCCAGCACAGCAGTTGGGACCTGTATGCCACCAGGCTGGGCTGGGCTAGTTTTGTGCCTCCATGTGGGGTTTCCAGCACTCCAGTGGGGAGCGGCACGTGGCAGCAGGAACCAGCCTGGCCTGATGATGTGCAGATTGATGTGCGACTTCCCACTGCTCCCATTGGGCCAGGCATGCTCCGTGCCACCATGTGCAGGTCCTGGCTCTCCTTCTGGGAGCTGCGCACCACTAGGTCAGCTTGGCTGGCTCCGTGCCAGCACATGAGGCTCCCGGCATTGCAGCCAGGAGCGTGCACTGCTGGGCCGGGCTGAACTGGCACTGTGCCTCCATATGCAGCTGCCTGCTGGAGTGCTGGAAGCCCCATGTGGAGGCACAGAGCTGTCCTGGGCCAGCTAGGTGGCGCATGGCTCCTAACTGCAGTACTGGGAGCCCCATGTGCTGTCACAGAGCCAGCCTGGTATGGGTTGAAGATGTGCACCAGTGGGCCAGGATGGGTCAGGTCTGTGCTGTAACGTGAAGCTCCTGGGGCTCAGCCGAAGCTGCACGCTGTTGGGGTGGGCTCTGCCTACCACTGGCCATGAGTGCCCTGAGAGTCCGCTGCCTGCTGGTGCTGCCTTCAGCAGGGGCTGTGTGCCATTGGGGGGGTGGTGATGTGTGGTGAGGGGGCCCATATCCACCCATGCACACCCATTCCACAGACCCCCACATGACCCACTTACCTCCACAAATCAGACCCCACCCTCCCGGCCATCCTCCCCACACAATATACAAGAATAAGACTTTATTTTGAGCTATTGTGCAACTCCCCTTCCCCCTCCTGATTTTTGTGTTAGTGTAGTGTGTGCGTGTGCCCTGTATGCACACTATGCAAACACGGAA